GGAGAGATGATTTCAGAGACTCAGCTTGGCCAGGAGGAGGGAGATAAACCTGGGAGATGCTCTAAGCAAATCGCTCCAGTACCACAGCACCTGTAGCTGCCCATCAAGGACAAAGGAAATGACAGCGGCGACTTTGCGTGTTTCATCCGGGAGCTGTGAAGACCCAGCGGCGATGTCAGTGAAAACGCTCAAGCCCAAAGGCGGTGTTGCGTCTTGCACAGGTTCTAAAAGGCAAAGGTAGCTCGCCAAAGTCACCTTCGGAGATCACTCAGGAAGCCGCCATGTGAGACCCCGGCACTGTCTCTCCAAGTCCCTCCCACCCAGTCTTCCTACCAGTGTTAGAACCGGAAGCGTTTTTGCGTTTGAGCATCGAATAAAATTTAGACTCCACGTAGATCGAGACGCCACACCTTGTGCCCGTGTCGTAGGAAAAGTGTGTGTCGTGAAACGCCAGAGTCACACTCGGCATGACGCCGTGCTCGCGGAGGCCCCAGGACCCCCGAGAGAAGGGGTCACACTCCCTCTTGCGGGGTGCACACTCCTCCTCAGATAGACGTGCTCACAGACCAGAGTCAGGACAGACTCTGTTCATTTTCTGTTCATTCCATTCTGTTCATTTTCGTTTTCTATTTTTCCCCTCACTTTATCTCTCTCAACAATATTAGAATTTTTGTTAAGAGTTAAAAACCCATCGGATGTGAATTTTCTCTCTGTGTGTGTATGTATATCTGTACATATGTGTGTTTATATATTCATATACACGTACACGCACGCACAGATCATTTCAGGCACGACTGAGGGGGAGGTGAGACCTCAGACCTGACTGGTACATCTGACATCGAAATTCCTTATGTGCAAATCCAAAAGCAAGAGCTTCTCTGGGGTGAGAGAATTTTGATGTTTCTGCTGTCTTTGTGTTTTCTTCCTTATAGACGGGGTCGTTGATGATCATGGCACTCAGCCCTACCCTTCAACCTGTGCGAGCGAGTGCAGCCTGTTACCCCTTTGACTTTGAACCCTTGTTGGTAAAGTTTCTGAGCGGCGCAGTCTGGTTCTTGGCAAAGAGGTAGCGACAGTCGTCCCTTCTAGCGCGAAGCCGGTGTGTAAATTATTTTGATGTTAACTCGCAATAACTAATAGGAACCTTCCCACGTGGGCTGTCCTGCTCCAGCAGCGTCGGGCACTGTGCCCACGGGGCCAGCCGTGACCCCTGCAGTGGGGATGCTGCACTCAAGGAAGCCAGTGCCCTGGGCTCTTCATCCCGCCCCAAGCCCACGTCACAAACCCACCGCAACTACTCGGAGGAGACAGAGTTCCTGATTCTTACACCTGACGTCAAAATCCCAAAGCTTCTGAGAGATGGACGGGAAGGTCGAGAGCCAGGGAAAACAGAAGCTTCCAAAACGGCCGATACAGAAGCAACGGGGTGCTTGTTTTAAGATAAAATCAGCTCAAGGCCATGGAGTCGTTGTGTGTGATGAATCTGGGCCGCATGCGACGTAGGCCAGTCTGTAGCCTTAATTCCCACAGTCGCTTAAAATTACCGTGCACGCTTAACGCCACTCATTTTTGTTAAATATCACGTTGCGAGAAGTAATAGATACCCTAGGACGTAAACCTACAATAACATAAAGTTTTCAGTCAGGTAATCCTTAATTTAAACTAAAAATAGCCTACATGGTAGTTTTCGTGAACCTCAAATATAAAGACTCCCAGCCCAACGCTGCTTCGTCGAACTGTAAATTTATGAGGCGCTTAGTCAGCATTTGAACATTTTAAACCAGATGAAGCATGGTCTGTATCAGAGACAAGCTCCAGAAAGCCAGGAGCCCCACTCTGGGCTGGTCTTGCTGACAGGGACATTCCTCAGAGAAGACCTTTCCTGGGGCCGGCAGAGTGAAGTGCCAACTGGTGTCACACGCCGAATAGGCAGCAGTCAGTGGCCGACGGCACATCAGCTTTTCTGAACGCTGTTTTAAACATAGTTTTGTCTCCCCAGAGACCAGGTTCTCTGGCCAGCACAGTCTGGCCTTGTGGGCGAAGGAGCTTCTTTCACTTAGCAACCACCTTGACCGTGGGAGAAAACTTGGAGGCGGTGGCAAATGAAACGTCCCTCCAGACTTGGTGAGGCCATTCTGCCAGGACTTAGATCTCCTCAGATTGCAGTTTTCCAAATACCAAAGGCATTGTTTGGAAAACCCATCTGGTGGCTGCTGGGAAGACCCCAGCCCAGGGCGACGGGAGGTGACTTGGAAAAGCACAGGGCTGGAAGAACGCTTGATTCATGCGTTGATTCTGACAGGATTGGATTCTCCAAGTTGGCGACAGGGCAGTTGGACTGGTCCCTGTGCTGTGCTCACACCTTGTCGTTAGAGGTGGAACGAAGCCACTTTATTCATGAGACATTTTATTTCTGTAACCTCTATACATTTAATTCTCTGAAATCCGTCAAAATTTTCAGATCTACCCATTTGAAAATGCAATCACCAATTTTATTTAAAGATATCAGATCAAACCCTAAATCAAATTTAAAATGGCTTTATATATATTCTTTGTTAAATGCACTGAAAAAACCAGTTAGTTGCTTCAAAAGTTAACATGAAACAAAGATGGATGGACGGATGGACAGACGGACGGACGGACGGACGGACAGATGGATGGATGATGGATGGTGTGTGAGTGGGTGGGTAGATGGATGGGTGGGTGGGTGGCTATAGATATAAATAGATAACAAGCAGGAAAAAAGTAAAAACCTCAGGAATAGCACTGAAAAATGGGACTTATTTTATTCAGTTAAGAAACCATTGGAGATATATCAAAAATATTCCTCTTGGTCAGCTTTATCTGAGAATTTCTTAGGTCTTCATTGCCCCTAACTGGATGGATACCTGACATAGGAGAGCAATACTGACTAATCAGTGATGGCTTTCATTGTTCTGAGCAGGCTGAGAACTAGCACCTTGTCACAGATCTGAATACTCCCATTTTGGGGTGCTTTCCCCAGTATTAAACAGATAATTCATTCGATAAGCATTTACTGAGTGCTTGCTCTGTGCCACTCACTGCTGGAGAAGCTGGGACGGCAGGCTGCCCTGAGGGCATTCAGGGAGGTGAGGAGCCCATGGGAGACCCAGGGGGCCTGTGAGAGAGGCCTGAGCTGAGCATGTGGGTGACACCACAGAAGTACTCTTTCGTGACATGATAGTAGACAATCAAATGACCAATTAACCAAAAAAAAAAAAAAAAAAATGGTTCGAGTCAGGAAACATAAGAAATTATTCTTAGGTGCCTTAAACTTTTTTTTAGCTTAAGCCATGAAAATGTTCATTTTTTCACCAGTTGTGTGGTGGTGGGGAGTGTAGCCTTTCTTTTGGGGGCGGGGGTGTCTTCCCGTTAGAATTGCAGGCCACTGGCCTCACACAGACCACAGCTATGATGCAACGTGTTTGAAATTCCAGGGTTTTTTGTTTTGTTTTTAGATCGGGTGGAATATAAAAGACCCTTGTGAAGAGGTCCGGGGCTGTTTTTATGATTTTTCCCCTCTTTTCTCATTGTGCTAGGCATACTATTTTAGATACTAGCCACGCTAGTTGTCATGGAAACAGCTTTGCTTTCGTTCTCATATGTCATTACGTTAACACGACACGTATTGATCGAAGTGACAAGTGTCACCGACACCAACAGGTTTGAAAATAAATACAATCGACACTTCAGAAGCGACTTTCAGCTGATGGCAGCAGACCTGTGGGGGTCATTCAGGCACAGGTGTGCCAGGCGGTGAGTTTTATGAAGGATAGGATCGCGTGGGCCGGTCTGACCCCACGTGGTGGGGTGAAGGGGGCGCCTCTGCGGGCGGAGCGTGGTGTGCGTGGCCTGCAGGGTGTGCACGGCAGACGTGCCGGGTACCTCACCCCCGCGAGGCACAAGGAGTAGCCAGCAAGAAGTAGAAGTGACGAAAGGTGGCCAGGGACATAAGGACCACTAGGAGAAGGTTATTCTAGAGAAGCATTTAAAACCTCTTACGGTGACGACTTCTGTTTGGGTCGCCTCCTCCCCCAGACTGGCAATGACTCGAGGTCAGGGATGGCCCGTTGTGTACCATGCTCTCTCTTGCCCATCGCCTGACATTTGGGAAACCTCTATTTTTGAATGAATGGAAGTGCGTATTTTTATCCACTGGGCTGTTGACAGAGAGCGGTCATCTTTATGTCTCTCCCCTGGAGATCGCGGGTCAGCCAACTGTGGGCCACCAGACCTTGTGTGTCCTGTGTCTCGGTTTACTCTATGAACAGCCCGTGTGTAAACTGCGGTCGTTCATTGCTCAGCACCTAGCGTGTGGTCAGTCACCGTGTCTAGACAGGCCTCAGTTGTTTATGAGGTACCACTGGGCAGGGAAGGTGACAGGTGTGATCTTAGTGGGCCCAGACGTAATGATGTGAAGGACTGGAAAGCCACATTTGTCATGAATTTGACGATTTGCACCCATCATATTCTATAAGTCAGAGTCTCGGATGGTTCCCACTAGCCCTTCGCACATCGACTTCTCTTTAAGGCAACAAAATGCTTAGATGGTTAACGTGAGGATATTTTAGTGTCGAAAACCAATTAACACTAATCATCAGAAACTTAGTTTGAAAACTACAGTATCACAATTAATGTAACTTGTTTAGTCACTTATTATTGGTTACTTAGCAAATGCTACTAATGTCTGTCTGCTCTGTCCATCTCCAGTCATTAAGCAAGCAAGTCATCATCACTCTGTCTCTTCGTGAGCTCGTGTCTGCTCTGTCCATCTCCAGTCATTAAGCAAGCAGGTCATCACTCTGTCTCTTCGTGAGCTCATGACTGTTGGTCTGACCTGCGAGAGCGGCAGAAACCAGGCATCACCCCATGTCACCTTTTGCGTTTCAGATTTAAGCGTAGGATGCTAGAACCCGGAACCAGAGATGAGAAGCCTGTAGCCTAAGTGTCCCTGTCTCTTTTTCCTTTTCCTCGGCCAGCTTGGGGATGAACCACGACGATGACCACTCCTCCTGTGCCGGCAGATCCCACATCATGTCGGGAGAGTGGGTGAAAGGCCGGAACCCCAGCGACCTCTCCTGGTCCTCCTGCAGTCGAGATGACCTTGAAAACTTCCTCAAGTAAGTCTTTGAATCATTCCGTACAATCTGTGCAGGAGGAGGTGCTTCCAGAACACACGGTCATTGGAGGCTCGGCAAGTGTGGAGTCCATTCGAGAATTCTCAGCTGGCCTGGCGGCTGGTCACTACAGCAATCTGTAAATGGGACAACTTCCTCCCACGCGTGCGTCTCGTCCGACGTTGGGCGCCCAGCTGGGCTTCAAAAATGCTTGCCGACTGAGTGGAATATCAACACCGTGACCCTGTCTTGAACTCTGTTGTATTTCATTTTATTTTGACTGTAAGTGGACAGCGCCCCTCGGTCTCTGTAGAACAGGTATTTCCTCTGTACCCAGGTCATATCCACCGGTGGGACGCGTGTCATCCGGGGAGCAGGGCTCGCTCACTCTCTCCCGTTGTCAGGCTGGGTTGGGTTTATCTCTGCCACTTTCTTTCCAGAATGTGTCGGCACATTCTCAGGCTTCCGTGGAAGACCTGGCCATCTGATTTCAGACCTTTGTCAAACAGAGTCTGCGCCCAGGTGTAATTGTGGGTCTCTTAGTGTCAGGACCTCAGGTTTGGCGGACAGAGACACCACTTAGCCGTGTGCACCTGTCCGCCCCATGGAGATGCACAGGCATCAGTGAGTCTCACCTGCGATGGAGCTTTGCTGTCCAAACACCCATCAAAGTGCCCAGTGAGGGCCAGGGGAATGCAAAAGTGCCACTCTGTCTTCTGCCCTCAAACACCCATCAAAGTGCCCAGTGAGGGCCAGGGGAGCGCAAATCCTGGGTCTTCTTTCTTGTGTCCTGTGGGTGGTGAAATTGTGTAAGTGGTTCTCGTGGCTTAAAAATGGACACATTAGTTTTAACATAATCTCTTCCCTACTGAGTCCTTATTGTCTCAGACTCTTAGGGAATGTTGCAAGCCCCTGGACATTGTTTCATTTTACTCGGGGTCTGTGAAACAAGGCAGAGTGTTTCTGTTCGCTCAAGTACGTACACAGGGGACAGGCCGGTCCCCCTGCCTATATAATGTGAAACAAGGCAGAGTGTTTCTGTTCGCTCAAGGACGTATGCAGGGGACAGGCCAGTCCCCCTGCCTGTATAAGCTGTGTGTGTGTGTGTGTGTGTGTTTGTGCCACTCTCTCTCTCTCTCTCTCTCTCTCTCTCTCTCTCTCTCTCTCTCAGCCCGGGAGAGCTGGACCAGCATCAGCCCCTGTGTGCTTAGGTGTGTGCAGCCCAAGATTCTTCAAGAATCTTGGCAAGAGGATGGGTTTTGCTTTTCCTACTGTCGGCCTTGTTTCAGGAAATTAAACATAAAAACACTTAAGACTTCAACCTTCTAATGGAGCTATAGCCTCCCATCCCCCGTCCAGGAGTTCAGAGATAATATGCTCATCCTCCTTGAAATCCTGAAGTCCTTTGCAGAATCTGCCACCAGGGATGACAGAAGGTGTGGTCAGGTGGGACACCTGGACCAGTCAGCTGCCACGACCTGCCATCCACCGCTTCCCCCCTCCATCCCCGCCCCCACCCTCCGCCGCAACAGAATCTGCAGAGTTGGAAATATCCACTTTGTTTTTATTTAAAATAAAGCAAAACGACCCTAACTTCTATTTTCTTCTTTAATTCCTAGTAACTTTTACTCAAAGCCATATTCTAAGAAAATATCATAGGAATCGATTTCAAAGTCATCCTCATCCATGAAAGCTCTCAGGACCCCCCAAGAAAAGGACACGAGGCTTCGTTATTCCCGAGCCCTGTCCTGCGTGCTAAGCTCTCGCTGCCTTCGGAGTGAAGGTCATGCATGCATTTGGCCATGTGGAAAAAGCAAAAAGCGAAAAAGCTCAGGCCATATGTTCGGTGCCTGGGTCATCTTCACATAAATCATTTGGAGCTGCATCCTTCTCACTGGCTAAAACTCAAAACAAAATCCCGGGCAGTACCTCTGCAGGCTGATTTGTGTCTTGGCTGTTTCAGGTCGAAAGTCAGCACCTGCTTGCTGGTCACGGACCCCAGGAGCCAGCACGCGGTGCGCCTCCCTCACAAGCTGCCTGGGATGCACTACAGCGCCAGCGAGCAGTGCCAGATCCTATTCGGTACCAACGCCACCTTCTGCAGAAACATGGAGGTAGGCCGCCACGGGAAGGCCGGCCGCGGAAGGGGCGTCTGGCTTCTGCCAGAAGACGCAGGTGTTCACACTTGGCACACACACGCACTCACACGTGCGCACACATGTATCCAAGTATAAGCACACCCATTCACATGCACAGACTTGCATATACATATACCCTCGTGGGCATTTGCACAGGCACATCCATGAGAAGAGACACACACACGCACACACACACACACACACACACTCTCTCTCTCTCTCTCTCTCTCTCTCTCTCTCTCTCTCTCACACGTGTAGGCAGTTTTGCAGGGGGATGCTTCAAAATTACTACCGACACCGACAGCCTAATGTGTTTTGTTTTGTTTTATTTTTTAATCCAAAGGAATTTCTCTCTTTTTTTGTGGGGGTGGGGGTGAAGGGCAGATGGGGAGAGATGGCTGCACAGAATTGTAAGGTTTTGACATGGTATATGCAGCAGAATAATTTCACACGAAGATGGTTAGAGTCGGATAATAACTGTAAGTCAACCAATAAATAACAACAGAGCTATAGCTAATAAGGCAGCAAGGGAGGACATTGCTTACCGCTCTGATGTCTTACGCACATGAGACTAGGTCGTGTAAGGATGGGTCATAATTGCCTGTTAGTCGTTTATACTCCACTTCGCTAAGAACCCGAGGCAGTTCACATTCTTAGGGTTCATGACATGTTCCATTTAGGTGTGGGTGTCCTTGAGGCCCCCATAGCCAGCCCATATCTCCAGGTGGACAGCATCGTGACACCCACCAATGACATCACGACATCTTACGGCGTCTCCAGTCGTTTCAGAGAGAACCGTGATGCCAAATCCTCAACAAAATTCTCCGAATCACCTGTGAATCCCTTTAGCAGGGGGAAAAAAAAAAATACTGCTTACTAGAGACCATGAGAAAGAGAGAATGACACTCTTAGCCAGGAATTTTAGGGGAATGAATATCCTAAAGGCATTACAACTCCAAAAATCTGGATGAGTTTCTTAAAAACCACAGTGGCATGGCAGTT